GAGCGATCTTCCATCCCGAGATCCAGTCTCTGAATCTGATGGCCTGGAGGATACTCCTGCCTTCCGAAGCATAGTAGACCGAGCTCGAAAGCCATCTACACAAGGACTCTATGAAAATAAATGGAAATCGTTCAGGGCATTTACAAAATCACAAAACTTAATTGCAACACCAGTCTCTCTTAAGACAATGCTTATCTTCATTCTCCACCTCTTTGATTTAGGACTATCAAACTCAACACTGAAAGTTTATATATCGGCTATCGTAGCTCATTAACCTTCTCATTCACAATCAGCAAAACTTTTTTCACACCTGACTTTAAAAAAGATTTCTCAGAGGTCTTCAAAATATTCAACCCCCAAGACAACAAATTGTACCTCAATGGTCATTACAATTAGTTCTAAATTCTCTCACTAAGCCACCTTTCAAACCAATGGCTACATGTAATAAAAATTGTTGTCCCTGAAGACAGCTTTTCTCATGGTGATAACATCTGCCAAGCGAGCTAGTGAATTAGCAGCTCTTAGATCAGACCCACCATACCTACAATTTCATCCATACGAGGTTACTATGTATTTGGATGTACCATTTCATCCCAAAATTGTCTCTGAATTTCATTTGAATCAACCTTTGATTTTACCATCTCCTTCTACATCCATTGAGCACATGCTCCATATGCTGGACATCTGAAGTGCTTTGGCCTTTTCCAGCAACAGGACAAATGCATTCAGGATGTCCCCAAGACTATTTGTATGCTTCCAAGGTCCTCACAGGGGTGCTCCGGCATCACCACAAACCATCTCGCGCTGGATAGTACAGACTATATCATTGGCATACGACTTTCAGGTAAAACACCTCCTGAACATTTAAAGGCCCATTCCACCAAAGCGCTGTCAACATCCACTGCTCTCCATCATGAAATAGAACTACAAAACATCTGCCAAGCAACAACCTGGTCCAATCCATCGACATTTGTCAAGCATTATCGCCTCGATTTTGACATCACTGCTACTATAATGTCCCACCATCCGGTAAGTGAGCATGTCGGTCACCCACTTGTGTATATTCACAGAGGCCACAAAGAAGAAAGAGAGGTTATTTAGCTGTAACCATAGTTCTTCTAGTGGATCTCTGTGAATTCACACATCCCTCCCTTCCTTCCCTCTGTCCATCATGTTGTCTTTTATATACACTCCTACTTTGACAGTGGCAGACTTTTGGACGGAACTGAAGGGAAGTTTGGAGGGTGGAGTATGCGCTCCACGGGGGGATGTCTTATTGTCAAATCTCTTTTAAGCTCTAGAAAATTCCAGAACGTCCTGCGCAGGTGCAGAACAACCCACTTGTGTGAATTCAGAGGTCCACTAGAAGAACTATGGTTACAGATAAGTAACCTCTCTTTTATTCACCCTCATCCAGTTCATAATTGATACTAATCACTGATTTAGAGCCAAAACCGCTTCCTCAGATTTAGGTGGCAAGGAGAGGTAGAATCACGCAACATCAGTATACTGGTAATACAGCACCCCAAAACTCTGGATAGTCTCTCCCAGCAGTTTCATGTAAATGTTAAATAACATAGAAGAAAAAACAGAACCCTGAGGGGCCCCACAGGTCAGTGGCCAGGGTGTTGAACAGGAACACCCCCCCCATACCACCTTCTGAGTTCTCTCCTCCAGGAAGGACTGGAGCCAACATAAAATAGTAATCCTAGTCCCATTCCAGAGAGACAGGTCAGGAGGATACTGTGGTCAAGAGTATCAAGAGCCACTGAGAGGTCAGGCAAAACCAACAGGGACACAGACCCCCTATCCAATTCCCGGTGTACATCATCCACCAAGGTGACCAAAGCAGTCTCTGTCCTATAGCTGAGCCTGATACCAGTTTGAAATGGATCTAAATAATTCATCTTATCCAAGAACCTCTGGAGCTGAGAGACCACAATGCACCCTAGTACTTTCCCCAAGAATGGAATATTATATACTGGTGTATAAAGCAGTGTGTTTCCAGTCTCTGACCCCCCTTCAAATCTGCCATATGCCCCCCCCCATGAGAATGACTGTGCTAGAGTACAACTTCCTCTGAGATCGCTGCCTGCCTCCTTAATATAAGAGGAATTGGAGACAAATTAGAGATAATTGTAAACATTTGCCCCTTATGGGGCTTCATTAATTTTTTGTATTATTTATTCTGCTACTAAAATTCAGATTTGAAGAGTGGTTATGTGCACACTAGGATTGGAATGGTTGCCGTAGAAGACAATGTTGTTTGTCAGTCTCATCCTGGACTTACATAGTGATCTAACAATCCAAGCTTCCCTGCAAAATCATGAGTGCTAGAAAACTTCGTCTCTTTATAGCTCAAATCCTGTTACACTGCATAGTAAGTTGCCACTAGAGCAGGGCCATTGAATCAGTGAAGACTGGGTGAGTCAATTCCTCTGTAAGTTCCCTTGATTCAAATTGGTCTACTCTAATTTTGCCTTACTGTGCTAAGCAACAGGATTTTGGTTCATCTGTCATTAAAAATGAATGCATCCTTCAAATGTTCCTGAGTCTTGGATTCTTGTGATGAAGTAGCAGCTTTGCTCAGTAGCCATGTTTATTGTGCTGAATAAAGAATGACTAACACTGAATACCTGCCACATCTCTGAACTTTTCTGCTAGGGCAGAACTTCATTTCCAAATGAATTTAATATGTTAACTATGATTTCTATGGGTGTTTTTTTTCTTTTTTTGGATGATCAGGTATCGTTACTGTTATTTTATGTGCTGCCCAAACTAAATTTTCATCTTCTAATGTGGCCCGGGGAAGGTGAAAGGTTGGACACCCCTGTGCTAGGGGAATGCAAGCAGGAGAGAGTTGGGTTTTTCTGCATGGGACAGCTTACTCAGCAGCCCCTTCTCTCCAGGCCTGTGTGTGAAAGAGAATTCCCAAGTCACTACCTGTCTCAGGGCAAGACTGATGGCAGACCTTTCTCCAAAACAATTTTTCTTTACACATTCAGACTGCCCCATAGTTGCCTTGCAGGAGAAAGAGCAAAATAAAATGACTGCTCCAGCACTGTTTAATCTGTTGACTGATTTTCAGATTCAGGCATCTGAAAATGGCAGTCATAAAAACAAGACGTTGATAGGCAGCAACGGGCAAAATGAGACAAACAGAAAAAGGAAAGAGAGGGAAAAGTCTTCTCATTGGATTCTTTCAATATATGTTTTAATGACGTTGTCTTTTATTTCTCTTTTAAATAATGGGCCCAGTTCATTTGCTGAGGGCACAGTTTTGATCTCGTGGAGAGTTAATGGCGGTATTTCTTCCTGGCTGGCTGTGGGTTATGCACACACACAGTGGCCAGTAGCCTTTGCTTTGAATGGGAGTCTGTCCAGCTTCTCCTCAGAACCCTAGGTGACACGTTAGCCACTAGCTAGATGGCTTAGAGGAGGGGGAGCCTGCCATAGTGTGTGATTTAGATGTCTATGAATGTACAATCCATCCCTTTTCATAGACATGACCTCAATATTTGGCAGATCGTCTTCTTCCACCCAGATCTACCCGAATCACCCGTCATCACCAGCAGGGACGGCTGAGGGATCTGACGCCGAGAGAGGCTCGGAAGGAAAAAACTAGAAACCGGGCCTTCTCAGCGGCGGCCCCTCGGCTATGGAACGCCCTTCCTACAGAAATTCGGCTAGCACCCTCGCTGGGTGTTTTTAAAAGACAGTTCAAAACTTGGTTATTTAAGCAGGCCTTCCCTCCAGTCAGCTAAGTCTTTTATTTTTATTTTTCCCATCTTATCCTTTTGGCAATCCTTTCCTAAATTAATTGTATTAACTAATATACCAATTGTATTTTTATGATTATCTATATTTTATATTGTCTTATTTTATGCTGTAAGCCGCCCCGAGTAGACCTGGTCTAGAGGGGCGGCATATAAATTTAATAAATAAATAAAATAAATAAATGACTATGCAAGCGGGAGGTGAAGAGCATAAGGTTCAATAGCTGTGATGTTTTATATGCATGTATGTGACTCTGTATACATTTATGCAAATTTAGCCATGTGTTCCACTTGCCAAAAGAAGCATGCAGAGCAGTTGAGGGAGTGAAATAGGTAGTTTGCTAAAATATCATGACACGTTTATTGTATTAGTATCCTTATTTTTCTGAGGAAGAAGAGCCTTTGTTAATGCCTAGAGGAGGAGCGGGCAAAGTGTGGCCACTTCAAGCATTTTGTAGTCCCTGGGACTACCACAGAGCCCTTGAGGAACCACTCCCAGTTTGAAACTTCGAGGCAGCCTATGTTGTTCCCCACAGGGGCCGAGGATCAGTGTTTCGAATCCAGTTCCCCAAGACTCCCCGTAAATGCCTGTCCAGGCACTTGCTGCTTGACTTTTTCCTATATAAAAAAAGACAGTTACCAGCTGGCATCGCCCCTTACTGAAAGCTGGAGTTTGAATTTGGTCTCAAAGTTCTCAGACCTTGCCTATCTCTGGGCTCAATCTTTAATATAAGAGGCAACCAGATATTTAAGCGGCCTCCTCATCACCACACCAAGTTAAGTTCTGTTACATAAAAACTCTGTGTTACAATTCTAGACATTCTTTAAAGTGGAAGACAGTTTACAAGATGTGATTCCTCTGGTTCGGCTGGGGAAAACTTTTTCATCTTAAATGGAATACATCTGTGGAACTGAGTAAAGAGAATTGTCCTTTGAGATCAGCTATATTGAGGTTATTGCAAAGGGATTTCCCCCCACCCCCACCCTATAATTTTGATACAGATACATTGCTTCCTGACAACAGTTGGTGAAATCCTGTTGCTTAGAGTAATAAGTCACAACTGGAGTAGGCCTATTGAATCAGTGGAGATCTGGTGAGCTGACTCCTGTAAGTTCCACTAATTCAGTTAGCCTATTCTAGTTGTAACGTACTGTGCTGAGCACCAGGATTTCAGCTGGTATGTGGAACATATATGACACAGTATTTTCTCCTTTCCTTTGCAGATCTGGAGTCCATACCGACAGCCTGGTTGCACAGGAGATCTTGATGGTAAAATTGAGGGCGACTCCCGTTGTCTGTACACACATGAAGAATACATAAGTCTTGTGCTGAACAGTGGCAGTGGTCTGTCCCATGATTATGCCAACCAGTCAGTCCAAGAAGATCCACGAATGATGGCCTTCTTTGACTCCTTGGTCCGACGTGAGATCGAGGGATGGAGTTCTGATTCTGATAGCGATCTCAGTGAAAGCACTATTTTACAACTCCATGCTGGAGTAAGTGAGCGCTCAGGTTATAGTGAATCTGAGTCCTCCACCTCTCTACGTCACTCTCCACCTCACATGACAGAAGAATCTGATGAGCCAGCCTATAACTTGGGAACCTTGAGATCCACTGAATCTCCACCAGCCAGAGAAGCTGCAACATCTCGCCAGCAACGGCTGTCAGCACTTAGGAGATATCAAGATAAGCGTCTTCTAGCCCTTTCTAATGAGTCGGATTCTGATGAAAATACCTGTGAGACTGAGCTGGATGCAGATCTTTTCCCAAGGCCAAGGTCCCCAAGTCCTGAAGAGAATGACTCAAGCAGCTCCAGTAGTAGTAGTAGTAGTAGCAGCAGCAGCAGCAGCAGCAGCACAGAGGAAGAGGAGGAACTGAATGAACGGCGTGCCTCCACCCGGCAGCGCAATGCACTGAGGCGAAGGCAGAAACCACAAAAGGAAGAAAGGACTAATGTGAACACAGAAAACACAAGCACCTACATAGGAGAAGATATCTATGATTACCCCCAGATCAAAGTAGATGATCTTTCTCCTTCTCCAGCTTCATCACCTGAGAGGAATTCTGCAAATGCAGAGGTCCGTAAAGAGAAGAACTCTCCTTGCTCAGAAAGTGAATCTGTAGACAGAAAGATCTACAAAGCTTTCAGATGGCTTCATTATTCTTACATGTCTTATGCTGCTAGTAAAGATGGGGAATCCTCTCATGGGGGTGGTGAAAATGAGGGGAAACCAGGCACTAGCAGAAAAGCTCAAGGTAGCCAGGATTCTTCAAATGAAAACCATAGTAAAGACATTGTAAAGGAACAGAGTTCAGCAGAAAGCTCTAAAAATGGTCAGGATCATGATTGTGAAAATCAGCGACAGCTAGAGGATCAGGAAAGCATAGCCCTAGATAATGGAGGCAGTGGGTCTGTAGACCATTCTTTTGATACTAAGAAGTTAAATGGAAAAGCCATTTGCAAAGAACGAGGTAGTTGCATTGAAGAGCCATGCAATCCATCTACAGGATTCATTGAACAAAAAAATAGCCAGAGTTGTCAAGCAGCATCTAGCCACAAGCCTTTGGCTGTTTCTAAGGATTCATTTTCTACTGCTGCCAACTGTAGTGGATCTGGAAATTGCTCTAGAACCCCAACGGATGATGGTGAGGACAGGAACATGGACAATTCCTGTGTAAACCACAATAATGGCCGTTTACACTCTCGCGCTTCCCACCTTAATAATGGACAAAGTCTTGGAGAGCAGGAGGCTTTTGCCCAAGGAAGACAATTACACTTAAATGCCGATAGTGGCAGCCTTGGGCAGACATGCACATCCCTGCACAAGGAATGCAGCCTGACTGCTACAGACTCTCCCAGTCACAGCACAAACATGAAAGAGGATGTTGCTGAGCTGCATCCTGCAGACAGTGATGGGTCTCAAATCCATGGGCGGCAGAAAAGGCACAGAGCAGAGTTTGAAGACACTGATTCTGAGAAGTCTTCCTCAGAAAAGAAGTTAAAAACCCATGCAGCCTGTTTGTGAAAAGCTGCGTCTCCAACTCTCCATTCCACCCTCCACTGGGTCTGTTTTAAATTGCCAGGGCTATGTTGTATAAAAATCTAATCAGCTTCTTTACAATGAGACTGAGTATAGTGTACCCTTACAAGGTTCTGTTCAAGTAAATCTTACTATTCTTCTGTGATGTGTGATGTTTGTTCAACTAGCTACCTGACGTGGCTATTGTAAATTTTACTCTTTGGAAAAAAAATTCTTTGAGTGTTGATACTGTGGGTTTTATAGTCACATTGAGCTGAGTGATAGGCAAATTACATCCTATAACTAATGAAGTGTGTTTTCTGTACAAGAAAGCAAGGGGGCAAATTAGATGCAGCCATTTAACCCTCTCTTATGCTTCTGAAGTCTTAAAGAAGAATAACTCACTCATGATTTGGAAGCATCCTCATGATTTATGTGCAGTAGCATCATACAGCTATTTCTACTTAAAGTTAATCCAACTGCTCATTCAAAAAGCAGGAGATGGTTTGATCTAGAGACTGTTAAGGTAATTTCCACAATTACCTTGTTTTCCCCCTCTAAACTTAACTCCTTCATGCTGCAAAATGGCCATATTAGTCAGTTGGGAGATACTCTACTCCAGTTGAAAGCTGTTTGAGGTCTGTTCCTGGAGCAGTGGTAGACTTCTAGTGCTTTATTTGTGGCCCCCCAAATTATGATTTGGTTGCAGAATAATGTGTACCAGAGCTACACATCCTGCGTCTGTATTAGCGGCAGAGTACAGACTAGAAAAATGGCCCTTGTAGATCAGCAGTCAAGAAAGATACATAATGATGTACTGAACAGAAACTGTGAGTGCAAACTGAATCTTGAGACCTGATTCCTTTACATTTGTTTCATTTTCTTTTTGGAAAAAAAAGGACTTACCTTAATTTGGAACAGTAAGATGACTTTAGAGACTCTGGTTTTACAGTTCTGCACTACAGTATCAAAAGTGCAGTTTGATGTATGGTTTCCAATTAAACAAATATTTTTGTGTGTGTGGACTATCTTTGTTTTTTATAGCAGACTCTAAAATTTATATATTTTTGTAACTTTGCATACAGGAGGGGGGATGTCTAGAGTTCCATTCTGACATTTCTGCTTTCTTCTGGGATGCCAAGGGAGAGTCATATAAATCACATATTACCTGTTCCCATTTTTTTAACAATAGAGACTGCCACCATGATGCCCAGTGGAATAAGGTTCTCCCAGGTCCAGCTGTAGTTTGCAGCTACTTGGAGGTGGTTTTCTGGCTGCTTCCCTGACAAAATGGATACCTTGCAAAGTAGATACAACTCTACTGTCTACACCATTAGCAAAAGTGACCGGTACTGTGTAGCTTGTGCTTTGTGGCTGTGGTATTATACTTTAAAAGTCAAATGCAGATCAAGCAAGAGGGATGGGGATAATGTCAGTCATTGTACTTTACATAAGGCCTAGGGAAAAGATCTTCCTTTTGTCTCTTATCCTGATTTTTGTACATTGTTGTTGTTTAGTCGTTAAGTCGTGCCCAATTCTTCATGACCCCATGGACCAGAGCACGCCAGGCTCTCCTGTCTTCCACTGCCTTCTGGAGTTTGGTCACATTCATGTTGATTGCTTTGATGACACTGTTCAACCATCTCGACCTCTGTCGTCCCCGTCTCCTCTTGCCTTCACACTTTCCCAACATCAGGGGCTTTTCCAGGGAGCCTTCTCATGAGATGGCCAAACTATTGGAGCCTCAACTTCAGGATCTGTCCTTCCAGTGAGCACTCAGGGTTGATTTCCTTTAGAATGGATAGGTTTGTTCTCCTTGCAGTCCAGGGGACTCTCAAGAGTCTCCTCCAGCACCACAATTCAAAAGCATCAGTTCTTCGGTGGTCAGCCTTCTTTATGGTCCAGCTCTCAATTCCATACATGGCTACTGGAAAAACAATAGCTTTGACTATGTGGACCTTTGTCAGCAAGGTGATTCTCTGCTTTTTAAGATGCTGTCAAGGTTTGTCATCATTTTCCTCCCAAGAAGCAGGTGTCTTTTAATTTCGTGACTGCTGTCACCAACTGCAGTAATCACGGAGCCCAAGAAAGTTAAATCTGTCACTGCCTCCTTACCTTCCCCTTCTATTTGCCAGGAGGTGATGGGACCAGTGGCCATGATCTAAGTTTTTTTGATGTTCAGCTTCAGACAATTTTTTGTGCTCACCTCTTTCACCCTCATTAAGACGTTCTTTAAGTCCTCCTCACTTTTTGCCATCAGAGTGGTATCATCTGCATATTGGAGGTTGTTGATATGTTTTACAGCAACCTTAATTTCAGTTTGGTACTCCTCCAGTCCAGCGTTTTGAATGATGTATTCTGCATAGAAGTTAAATTAGCAGGGGAACAATACAGTATACAGCCTTGTCATAGTCCTTTCCCAATTTTGAACCAATCAGTTGTTCCATATCCAGTTCTAACTATTGCTTCCTGTCCCACATATAGATTTCTCAGGAGATAGATAAGGTGGCCAGGCACTCCCATTTCTTTAAGAACTTGCCATAGTTTGCTGTGGTCGACACAGTGAAAGGCTTTTGTGTAGTCAGTGAAGCAGAAGTAGATGTTTTTCTGGAACTCTCTGGCTTTCTCCATAATCTAGCACATGTTAGCAATTTGGTCTCTAGTTCCTCTGCCCCTTCAAAATCCAGCTTGTACTTCTGGCAGTTCTTGGTCCACATACTGCTGAAGCCTACCTTGGAGGATTTTGAGCATAACCTTGCTAGCCTGTGGAATGAGTGCAATTGTAAGGTAGTTGGAACATTTTTTGGCACTGCCCTTCCTTGGGATTGGGATGTCTTTTCCAATCCTCTGGCCACTGCTGAGTTTTCCAAACTTGCTGACATATTGAGTGTAGCACCTTAACAGCGTGATCTTTTAAGATTTTAAATAGTTCAACTGGAATGCCATCACCTCCACTGGCCTTGTTGTTAGCCATTCTTTCTAAGGCCCACTTGACTTTGCTCTCCAGGATGTCTGGCTCAAGGTCAGCAACCACACTATCTGGGTTGTCCAGGACATGCAAATCTTTCTGGTTAAATGCCTCTGTGTATTCTTGCCACCTCTTCTTGATGTCTTCTGCTTCTTGTAAGGTCCCTACCATTTTTGTCCTTTATCATGTCCATCTTTGCACAAAATTTTCCTGTAATATCTCCAATTTTCTTGAACAGATTTCTGGTTTAACCCTTTCTATTATTTTCCTCTATTTCTTTGCACTGTTCATTTAAGAAGGCCTTCTTGTCTCTCATTGCTATTCTTTGGAAGTCTGCATTCAATTTTCTGTAACTTTCCCTATCTCCCTTGCATTTTGTTTTCCTTCTCTGCTATTTTTAAGGCCTCATTGGACAGCCACTTTGCTTTCTTGCATTTCCTTTTCTTGCATTTCCATTTTTGTACATAGCGGGTAATTTATTGAAGGATTTGTGCAATGTCTCTTACTTGTCTGAGGCACGGTGCCCATCTACAAATGCATCAGAGCAGACTGTGTCTTTTTATGGAGAAGACGCCATACACCTTATTTTCCTGACTTCTGCATCTTAAGTCAGAATCAAGTCCCACTGAGTTTACCTGGACTTATTCTTTGTAAGTGTATGTAGATTTGCTGCAGTTGTAGAAATACTCTGTACTGAAATGACCATTTAACCATTAGTACTGAAGCAAGATGTTAAAAATTATGAAAAAAGGTCACTAGCAATATAGCTTGAATCTTCTTTTAGAACCTGAACAATAATTGGCCACCCTTGGAATGCCTCTTCCAGTCTTGCTTTGAGTTTTTACACAGTATGAATCTTCTGCAGAGCTGGGTCAGAACGGAAGGGTGGGAAGCCGTTACCAGAGCAGAATGAAGTACTGTGCTATACAGTGTTTTGCATAATTTTGCTTTGTGTTTATTGTGTGCTGCTGCGCTGATGGATGAGAATGGAGAGACGTACTAATTTCTTGGATCCTTTAAATGTTGGACTTAAAAATGAAGTGCTTCTGTTGAATCCCTTTTCAAGAATATATGTCTTAGCATGCTTAGACAATTCCACACGACAGTTCGTCAGCTCAGTACCGTAGCCATAAGTTTTAAAAGTACTGTTTGCAGATAAAACAAGTGTATTACACTGCATCTTCCCTGAATAAAAACTGGGTTGTCAGGCTAATGGCCGAATGTGAAAGGTAATGCATGGAGGGTACTTGAGAAAGTAGAAGAGCTTCAGATTGTAGAAGAAAGAGTATATTCAGATCAAGTACATTTTTGATCTACTTTGCTACTACAATCAGATTTTGTGAAAAATCTATGAGAACATTTGGGAGGCTAAGGGGATTTACTTCATCCTAGGTATTTGGATTGTGGTGCTGGAGGTGACTCTTGAGAGTCCCCTGTACTGCAAAGAGAACAAATCTATCCATTTTGAAGGAAATAAACCCTTGAGGATTCACTGGAAGGACAGATCCTGAAGCTGAGGCTCCAATACTTTGGCCATCTCATGAGAAGAGAAGACACCCTGGAAAAGACCCTGATGTTGGGAAAGTGTGAGGGCAAGAGGAGAAGGGGATGACAGAGGATGAGATGATTGGACAGTGTCATTGAAACTACCAAAATGAATTTGACCAAACTCCAGGAGGCAGTGGAAGACAGGATGGCCTGGCATTCTCTGGTCCATGGGGGCATGAAGAGTTGGACACAACGACTAAACAACAAGATATCTGGAAATGGCAAATATTTGTTTTGCAATTGGGAAAATCCTATTGTGCAATTAGAATAAACTGACATCAAAACAAAAACACACGGGAAAGTTTTAAGAAAAGGAAACAAGTCATCCTTTGCAGGCAGACACAACCCTCCTCCCTTCAATATTAGAAGCACCTTGCTGGAACCCCCAACAACACCTTTAAAATTCAACATTCATGTCAGCTGCCCCAAAGAGAACACCTAATGGCCAGAAATAATAGAGTTAAAACATTGGATGGGGAGTCAGCATTGTGGGTCCTGTGTGAGCATGCAGCAGCACCAGTTGTCAAACAGAGGTCTACCACTAAAAGCTAAATCTAGCAAATGAGCAAAAGAAGTTTTCATATACAGTATATAGTTCAGTGACCTCACAGCATTCTTGTCCCCAGGCATTGTAACTGAAAAAACGGTGAGATTTCTTAACCAAAACTGGATACTAGAGTTGTCTGTGAGCAAAGTCTAGATCTCCTCCAACTACTTGTCACCACACCATATTTTTCATCTTCTGTGGTGCTGTTTGAGACAATCCAATTTCTCTGGATTGGTTCGAATCAAACTAAACCAAACTATTTTAGATCCAAATCAGGTTGCTCAAATCCAATCTGGATCTTGGCTGAACCAGTTTAGAATTTGGCAAATGTTCAAAGAGATTTCATTGCCTTAATCAATTTGTTCTATAAAGTGTGAGCTTATTCTTTGTCTTGAAGCTTAATCTCTTTCCCAATCCACAGACTTTTGTGGCATTTCAGACGTCATTGTGTATATGAGCATATATGGCAACCTAAGCCTACTAGAAACTGATTCGGTTCTCCAACAGTAGATGCCAAACCAACCAGTTATGAAAGATCTTTCCTTGAAGATTGTCATGGTTGCTGCCTGTTTGTTTTACCTTCGCAGTTGTACCCCAGGGAATCTCTATAGTGCAGTGCCAAAATCTCATTGCTTTTATCAGGAAATAATTGGTAATAATATCAGAGGAAATGGACCACATCTAAACCAGCAGCTTATTGAATGTTTTGTGGAGGACTGATGGTAATCTTATTGGTCAGAGTGACAAGCGTCTATATTCTCAAAAATGATGTAATTTCAATTTCCATATACTGGAACTAGAATAGAAATGGGATGGATTTTGCCACTGTGCCCATATGAACTTTCTTATGTTATCCAGTTGGGGGGTGTTGAATGGTATCATGCCAAGCCAGCTGAGTACTAGCCAATTCAGTGCATTAAGGCTATTCTGACCTTTCAATCAGGGTTTCTGTTTTA